CCCTTAATGGGAAATGTAAGACACCAGCATGGAACTATTGGAGTGAAGTATGATGATTTTTTTTCCTCAATAATTCAAGACCTTGACACATTGCCCATTGAATAGCAAGAAGTTCTAAAATATTGATGTATAGGGAAGCCTCATTGTCCATCAATCGATCCTGGAATTTCTGACTATTGAGATATGCACCTCATCCATTAACCCAAAGACCACCGGCTACTAACTGTCTGTGTAGCCAATGCAAGTCTTGCTATATCTCATTCCAACAATAAAACTAGTGGATGAATATGTTTGAAAGTTCATAAGAACTTTCATAAATGCACATAGTTTAAGAAACATAAAGCCTGTTACTTTTGATAAATTTAGTTTTTTTGCATTATGATCTTTAATATCTTGGAAAATTACATTAAGAAATTATAAGGAATGATTACAATATTTATATTTGTTCCATATTTGAACTTATTACTTTTTATGTTTTAGTACATTATTTTGAAATCCCAAAAAATTTGTATCATGCATAAAATGCAAATTTTATCTTTTTTTTTTTTAATTAATCACGTACTCTCCTAATGGTTTCAAGTAATATATAAGACCCGAAAATAATATTTGTAAGTAAACCTATACAATAAATGAATATTTTTATTCTTAACTAGGATTTAATGTTTATATATATACATAAAAACATTTTAATTTTGTTTCATAAATGTATTTTTATTTCAAGTTTATGTTTTATTGCAGCCGTACTTTTGTTTATTGTACCGAATAAACCATGGGGTTAGGAGCGTGAACTATGTACGTTTTCTGTAAACTATTTCATCCCTGTTCGGGTCATTCTCTTTCAGCCCAGTGCGGGCATATTTGAACATTATTGTAGATATGATAGTAAGAAAGCTTTTCGGTACATGAATATCATTTCTTTGAACTTTCAAACAAGTTTATTTCAACATATGTCTGTGCATGTTGTTTAATTATAGAGACAAAACTAATTGCCACAACTAGCGAATGTATGTAACAGTTTACAGTACAGGTGGTTTCAATAAACACCGCCTGACCCTAGTTACTTGATACATCCTGTTAAAAGAGATTACCAAATGATACAGACACCATAAATTACAAAGAAAATTACTTTAAAGCAATTAAAATATTAGTTCTGGTCACATTCCTCTCATTATAAGCAAGATTTATGTTGGAATTCGAAACTTAAGCTCTTCAGTGTATTGAGACCCCAACTGTGAGAATGTCATAGCTTCCCTGTATTTATTGAGACAAATGTATTTAGTATGTTTCACAACCAACATATGGGTTTTATTGTTGTCACTTGTACACTGAGTTTTAAACCATTTGCAAAATATCACGTGCTTTCCTTATCATCCTACGATTTGTCAAACATGAAATACAGCGATTGGAGTAACATGGTACTGAGATTGACACCTTCGACTAGGATTAGCTAAAAGTTTTACAACTGAGGTTTAACACGCCCAGATGCTGTTTTGTAAAAAAAAAAAAAACAGACTAGAAAAAGGTTTAGATACCAATCATAGATGGCAGGACCAGTGCTGCAGTGGAAGGAATAATTTTATTTAAATTTTGAAAAAAAAAAATATCTTCTTAGAGGGCACTTTTAGGATTTTTTCATTAAATTCCTCTTTAAACTTCATTAAATAATACAATTTTGTACAAATAATTGAATGTTATGCTACTATTTACAAAAATAAAATCTGAAATCCAATAAAAGATAAGTTCTCTATAATTTTTTTCAATTCACAATTCACGATAAGATCAAAATGGCCACGACAGATAACAGGTTAAGCGAGGCATGTGTGAAGAGATGAGTCTCTGGATGGTGTGGCGGCAGAGGAACACCTATTGTAGTATTTTTCTGATCTAACAACCACTTGAAATGGAAGATTTTGATTCTAAATAAAGAGACTGGAGAATCCAGTAGATCAATGTTCATGATCCATTGGTCCCATAGAGACCACTGAATGAATCTCACATGCACTTGTTCCATAGGAATGAGATATTTAAGTGATGCTCACATCCCCAAAAGAGAAAGAACCAACCACACAGTTAAAAAGGGAGACCTGAGTAAGAATCGGATTGCTTGTTCCATAGCATGGAGCCAGATGGGAGTTAGCTGGGCCCGACTGAAATAAGTGTTGAAAAAGACACCCGGATGGATGGTATATTGAGTTGGAGAGAGAATAGACTTGTCGGCTCTGATAATAAAGCCTGCCTTGGTTGCTTCTGAAAGTAGAATCTGGGTGTAACATTCTGCCAACTGATGAGATGATGCCAGCAGCAACCAGCCGTCCATGTAATGGTGTGTGCACAGGCCTAGAGAATGGAGGTGAAGAGAAAAAGCTCATACTATTTAGTAGAATACATATGGTGCTGATGCTAGTCTGAAGGGTAAAGCCCTGATCTGCAGCGCTGACACTTGTGCACAAAATGCAGATAGTGGCAAGATGCCTCTGCTATGGGAATGTGTAGATAGGCGACATCCATAGTACTGGCAAAAAATGCCAATGCAGAGTGAGGAATGACTCAATAATAAAATTTGGAGGATCTAGGAATTGATTTAGATGAGAAAGATCGATGACCAAACGCCAATTTCCTATCTTCTTGGGCACAACAAACAGACAGGAATAAAACCCTGAAAGAACTGGGACAACTTTCTCCACTACTCCCTTGACCATCAAATCTCTGATAGCCTTGGAACGAGGATATGCAGGAGATGGAAATACTATAGGTTGTGGGGGATAATAGTGGTGGTGATGTGAACTGAATGACCAATCCTGATGCAAGGATCTGTAATACCCATGCATCTGTGGTTAAAAGTTTTTCACACATCCAGAAATTCTAAGAGCCAAGCTCCCACAGACCCTAAAGGCATATGGTAGTCACCACCACCACTGACGACATTCCAACAAAGCAGAGGAACCTCATGGATATGGGCAGAATCTCTTCTGGGTACCAATGGACCAAGGGGCTGATGACAGGGTTGGGACACTTGAATAGGGCAGAACTATGATCCCCTCTAGGAGTTGAAAAAGTTGAGAAGCTAATGACGACAGGGATGAATGCAGACAGGCAACATCAACCTGTAATTCCAAAGACTCTGGAGGGGTCTCAAGGGGTCTCAGATACCTCACAGATGATGGCAGCCGGTAGACAAACACCCTCTAATAATGCATTTCTACCTAACAAATCCCAACAACATGCTAGCCAAGAGACTAGGGAAAGTGTAGAAGCTAACAATCGAACCAAGATAGATACCAACAATGGTCCCCACTTATCCTCAAGTGACATGGTAATAACTGAGAGGCTTCCAACAAAAGTTGGAGGGATGATAAATATCTCAGAACCGTTAGACAAATCCTTGAAAATTATGACTTATTCAGGTTAACCACAGACTATTCTTTGAGAGTCTAAATACACATCCACCTGGAGGTGGTAGGCTAAAACATGTTGTTCTGATAAACATGGTGAACAAGGCATAGCTGTCCCTTCACATAATTCAGCAGTAAACCTCCCTGCATGAACTGCAATATCAGGTGAGGGAGAACTAAGTATTCACCCTCAGACCTTTCCCCCCATCAAGGTAGGTGCAGACTCAAAAGCAACCAGGGAAAGACCCAAAACATTACACACTCAACTGACCAACTGAAAAAAAGGAGCCAGAGGTGGCTGATCCAAATTGGTCTCGTGAGAAGCTAACAGAGTAAAAAACATTGCTGGAAAAAACAAATCTAAATTTTCTCCAGAATGTCCAGGATCGCCCACAAGCCCCCTGGAGAAACACCACCAGGCTGAATATATATATCTCCATCTCACTATGAATAATGTCATGGACAGCTTCAACTGAGAGTGACTGCTCCCTGAATATTAAGCAACGTTAGATATTAGAAGTGGGATGGGAGACACTTGATTGGCCTTCATGCCAGAAACAGTAATACAGGAATTCATACCACCTATCGGCTTGTCAAACAAAATTTTTTTTAAATGAAAATCAACTAGGTGACATAAAGAATACTCAAAGTATCTTCAATGGCTGTAGTACAGAGGAACCTATTAGTGAAAGCTTTGTCAATAAAAAGTGCTAATATTATCTGAATTAGGTGCTTATATACAGTACCAGGATAGAGGGCACATTGATGTAGGTGGAGAGTGTTACAAGACAGATATTGCCAAGGGCAATTAAGTGGGAAACAAAAGACTGGAGCAAGCAAAACAAAAATCAGACCAATTCTTAGATGGGAAAAGGTAGGAAACTAGCAGTCAAATAATAGCTGTAGTGTGAGCAAACGTATATGTTTTGGAAAAAGTATTTTTATTCTTAACAAGAAAAATCACCTTGCACTCAAATTAAACACAGCCTGAATAAGACTGACTCAGTAAATTCAGAGACAAAACTTTTGTAAAAATACTTTATTTTTTGTGTACAACAGACTCCTAATGTTTACTAAAAGCTTGTCAAATTTTTTTAAGATTCACAAAGTAAACTCAGAATTATTGTAAACATTATAATGTGTAGTTTCACAAATATGGGCTGGTCAGTTTGAATGAATCCATAAACAGAAAGCTGAAAATACTATAAGACAGAGAATGTCAACTGTTCAGTGCTTGTAGAAACAACAATTAGGGGTCAACAACATTATTTTTTACACTTCTATTGAATCAGTAAAATACATTTCAAATAATTTTTATTAATGTCAACAAGTTCTATATATTATATACAAAATTACAAGTCATACAAAAATTAGTATACATGGGTCAAACTTTAATGTAAAAAGAGTAAAGCAATGTGTTTTGCTACAGCTCAAAAGAAAGCCATATTTCCTTCCCAATAAACTAAAAATTAAACCAGCAGCTACAGCTAAGATTATGAAACTCTGGAGATCACTAGCACAGTTTCCCATGAATTCTATTTATATCTGAAGATTCAATGAGATACATATATGGAAATCAAAATGGATACATAAATAACAATTTCCTACCTCTATCACTTCTTCATGAGCTTGAGCAATTTTGTCTGACTTTCCAGCAAGCTCTAACTTAGCCTTCTGTTCCCGTTTCTTGGTAAGCATCTGCTGAGCATGTTGCCATGTTTGATATACTTTAACACGTTGATGAAATACATCCTGATAAAAAAAATAGTACTGTTTTTGTTTTGATGTCTAAAGCAACTCATTCAAAGATTAAAAGTGTTATTTTGGTAAGTGCATGTTTTTTATATGAAACTGGTTGTGGAAATTTAGGTGATTAACTATGAAAACCAAAGGAAAAAAAAAGAGCATTCAAGATCTCACAGATTTATCAATACAAGAAGTTCAAAGCCTTTTTAAATATTTAAGACTACAGGTATACCAAAATAACATTTTTGTGGGCTAATACTAACTTCAGATGAATCAAAAAAATGAAGAATAATGATATAGTAGAAAAACAGGCTAGACATCAGATGAAATGAACTTCATAATGCAAAGAACACTGCTCAAGTATTATATATATTCACATTTTTGCAATTATTCCTGCCTTTTCATGCTATATTTAACAATAAGTAAGAGATATAATGATATCTAAAACAAAAAGCTACAAAACTCTAGCAATCATTTCAGATGCTAGCTGTTTGTTTATAGTCTTTTGGTTTTGGTGTAAATGAAAAACTGATTATACTAATGAATTTATATTGTGTCTATTTAACACTGAACTTATGACAGAATTTCTCTCTTCCATCTCGTTGAATAGTAACAAGTGTTGTTAGTTGTCACAGAGTCAGTTTTTATATTTATATTTTGTTATTGTAATGTCTAATAACTATTAGTCACTATGTTGGCTAAATTCTAGTAACAGCAATAAAAATGCCATCATTTCAAAATCTTCAGTCCAATACTGATTTCACTCAATGTTGAAAAATTTTCTGCTAGAAAACATTGGGAAGAGCTTGAATATTGTTAATGGCTTGAATTTATAGGTAATTGTGCACAATTCATTGACTTTTGGAATAGATATAATCACAAGTGCTACATATGGACATAAGTAGAGGGGTATAATATTGAGTAGTGGTAAAAAAACTTGTCAAATTAAAATAACTTTATTAATAAAACAAGAAAATGACGTTTTAGGCAACAGCCCTTCATCAGGTTACCAGTGACAATGAAATTGTTAATATAAGGGTTAGGTTGAAAAAACAAATAACACATGGCTTGAAGGCTTGAGAACATGTTCCTGAAGCTATAAATGAGCTAAGGGAAGTAACATATAGAATAAATGTAATAACATAATAATGATAAAAGTATAAAAATTGTATAAATAAAGTTAATTGTAGTAAATAAACTAAAAAAAGGAAACGAAGAACAAAATTACAGGCAACAATGTAAGAAAATGAATGAACACGTGCATCTGGTCATATTGTTTAAAGGGATACAACAATAAAAGGTAGGTGAACTTAATAGTAGTGAAGGAATGAAATATCACAAATTTAATTTCAAAGTTTTATGAAATTAACATCATAATTTTCAAAGTTCAATTTGAAGAAGTTCAGTTTATTTCATGAAAAACATTTTTTTAAAGTATTTTTTTACGATACAAATAATTTCATTTTAGCAACATGGTAGAAAAATAAACATTTAACGTTGAATAATATTTATGATTTTAACTTAATACACAAGTGCCAAAATACTATAATTATGGTAGAAACCAGTCATACTTAAAATCTGTTATAAGACTTAAATGTAAAAAATCTTTGTTACAAGTTGGAAGCAAGCTTTCCAATGGCTTTATCATAAACGAAAAAAGCTTACCTTTACAGTTCCAATGAGTGCAATATAATCCTTTAACATCTCTGATAACATGAAGAAATCACTGTTAACTTGTTTCATATGTACTTGTTCCACCTTTTCTTCTACTTCAGCAAGCTGAGATAAAGCTCTTGAAAGAGCTGTATGCTCTTCACAGTTACCTAACATCGCTGCACTTTTAGCAAAAGAATTTGTATTGTTGCAAAGTTCTGAAAAAACAACAAAGTAAGGAAGAAAAATGATTTCATATAGAATTATCAAAATCAGTTTTGGTACTAAAGATGAGAATCTGTAAAAGTAAATTTTGAATGTAAATAAAAACCAACATTAGAATAATAATAATAATAGTAAGAGACTTAATTTGATAAATTAGCTTGTCATCATCAATTTGATGAGTTACAACAAAACTGATATTGCCAATCTAACTTACAAAAACTGTTGTATTACAGGATGAATTACAATACACACACACAGTACGTTACCTTCTGGTACAAAGATGTTACACCTCACAGCAGACATGTCATGAGAATGACAATAAAAAAACCAACACAAATGGGTGTGAAATTCCATGACACATCATTAGATTCTCATGTGGTTCAGAACACCAGATACCTCACAGTCAGTTAATATAGCAAGAGTACTGTCACATTTTCTACAACATTATTCATTTAGGAGAATGCAAAAAGCCTATTGTAAACATAGTAGTTTGAAACCTTAAATCTTGTGTAGTTTAATTTATTATATGACCTCAACTCATTAAGCTAGAATCCAATGTGTAAAACCTAAGTTAACATGTATTTTCATAATTTTAAGTAACATTAGCAAGCTCACTATGATGTATTAATAAGACTGACAAAATAGCCTTTAATCCTAACAGATACTGTCAATCCCTGATACAAATATACCAATACTTGCTGCTGGATTAAAAAACTGTTAAACATATATCATAAGATGTATATATGCTTGATTTGGAAAAAACAACAAACTGTGTTATACAGTTGGTGCACTTTCATCTTTCATTTTTAATAAAACTTAAATTTACATCCCAGAAATGTATTCGTTTAATTAATTGCATGAATATTTATGGAAAGGGTATTGTTAACATTACAAAAAAATCACCAAATTGCAGGGTTTTTACATGAAATTCACAAAAAATATCACAACATTTTAAAACTGGTACTAAATTGAATATACAAATAACAATGGTAATGAATAACTATTATCAACACAAACTATATTAGTTAAAACTATATAAACTGTACTTGTGTGTTAATTTTGACCATATTAAGTGGTCTATACTTTTTATATCTAGTATATTACCCACTACTATTCACAGGAAAAACAACTGCCAAAATTTTGCACGCTTTTTTTTTTATCAATCATTTACATAATTTTGTAAATTTTCAAGTAAATCCAAGCAGCCATATCCTCTATGATCCCTGATGTAAAAATTCAAAATATAAATGTGAATATTTACTTTGAATGATCTCTTACATGTCCATAACAATTTTCATGGAACTCTGTGGGTCCAAACCTGAAAGCTCTCAAAACCTCTTTGAGTCCCAAATGAATTGTGATTATTGTTTTGAAAAGCTCCTTGCACGTTAATGCCAATTTTCAAGTAAACTGGTTTATTAACCCTTTCGAGACAGATCACAGGTGAAAGGCCATGCCATCTCGTTTCTTGCCTCACATTCAAAATTTTATTAAACTACCATTTCATGAATTTATGTCAATAAGTTTGGTATCAAACTGTAGATTATAATTCAAATTTTAGAACTATACATTACTCAATTTGTTAATTTAAAAGCAAATATTAAAAAAAGACAGATAAACATCAATTTTTGTGTGTCATGTGGTATGTTGAATGTATTGCTGGTTCAAATTAGATCTTTGTGAAGTCAAAATACTAAGTCTATAGTCTCATATGAATTAGAAACTCAAATTACAGATATTGAGATGCTAGAATATAAAATAAGAATGTCTTATCTTTTCTATTTGCTAAGATATTGCTAACGTAATAAAGCAAACCCAGTGGCACCCACCCACCTCTTTCCATTTTTTGAAATGCTCCCTTATATA